AGTTGTTTCCAGGAGCGAGATCAATAAATAAACATCAGTGGGTGAGTGGCTAGGCTAGGTCCAGTGAGGTAAGTTTGGGTGCAAGAGAGACCGATGCAGAATCTACCTACCGCTGCAAGGGTAGGTACATGTGGGTATTGGGATACTTTACAACCCGCTGCTCAACTTTGCCGGTACCTACATCTCTTCGCAGCTCAACCAACTCAAGCCTTTGGACCACGACCACATTACAAGGCCAGGAAGAACAATTGGCGGCGCATTTGAAATTGTACTTTAACCACCTGCATCACGAAAGAAGCTCTTCCAGCGCTTGAAGCGCAGCAAGCAGACATCAGGGTTCGTTGACCATCCCCACCCCCCAGTAATTATATTTTAATCCCTAATCCATGCATTGTCCCCGAATTCGCAAAAAAGGTACCTTCCATGGTCCATCAGCACCATCGGGTCATCCGCCATCACCAGCGTATTGAATGCAATGTCTAGCTCCACCTATCAGAACAGCTTATCGATAGGCTTCAGTGGACTCTAGTATTGAAACAGATTGCCTTCCACTTGGACCAACCCCTGGCCTTCTAACAGGTTATGATGCTGATGATGCTGACGATGGGAGGTGCGATACTATCATATGAAAACCAAGCCTGTGCACTGCCGCGCGGGCCAGCCGCGATGTGGGGTTGTAGTACAATAAATACGGTCTTTCCTGCTCACGGTTAACCGACCTTGAACTGAGTTGTTTCTAAAAGCGCGAATTGGCTCCTTGACGTGACACTTCAAAGCTCGACGCCGTTAATACTCCATGAGCACGTGCAGAAAATCCCAGATCTGACTTGATTCTTATGCAAAATCGAGGAGGCCCGTACATCTTACCCGCCTACGTACCCGCGACCAGCAACAAGAACCCGAATATGCAGCTGCAAGTCTTTGGTGTATTTGTGACTGCTACTCCAATGGAAGTTGCAGATTAGGACGTGCATTTTCGGGTTCTTGTTGCTGGTCGCGAGTACGTATATACCTACTCTAGTGCAAGTACCTACAAGACTGGAACACAAGCTTAAACTCATACATATATGTAGTTGGTGATGTTACCATGCTGTAACAGCTCCCCTTACATTAAACTTGATGGAAAGAACGGCCAGCTAGTTCATAGCAAACAGCACACAGCACACACGTCTCGGGGTACACTCTTAAAGACCAAAAACAAAACGGGGGGTCACATATGCAAAATTGAAAGCCACATGTAGTTACGTACTGGTCTTGACCACCTAATTACCCCGGACCAGACAGTTGAACATTTTTCTTTTCTTTTCGCCAAAAAGCAATGGGGACTAAGCCATGGGAGGGGTAAACGCGTGATTCGATTTCAATGATGTCTCGCCAAGGAAATGGCAGATTCTTCGATCTTTCCCGAGAGGCAAGGAAAAAAAATTCTCTGGTGACTGTGTATCATCGTCAATGTGGCACCTGGCCTGGCCAGTTCGAAGGTTTAGCAGTCAAAGCAAGGAGCCCGAAAGGTGCACTTGCAGACTCGAGAGCCTCTCTTTACTCCTCACGTGTCACACTTTTCGAACCTGATATGTTGCAAATCCAGAATGAAAGTAGTAGACACTCTGTGTAGGGACATTCTAGATTTTAATTCGTTGGTTCTCTAGTCTCCTCATTCCCATGAAACTGCATCCTATTCAGCGGAGGGGAACGATTCGTTAAGGAATTGTCACCTCCACCGCTTATCATTTTTAGCTGCAGGGCTGCTCCATACATTGTAAGAACACCAAGTTGTAGAAACGTGTGATTCGCGATTCAGGAAATTGATTGGTCTCTCAGGTCCTCGGCGAACGGTGCTAGTAGTTGTCACTGGACAGAGAACCCTTGCTCACAAACCGACTCACCGTAGAGTAGTTAAGTGCAACCTGTCCACTTGGACCTCACTGGAAACGGTTCGAAATTGCTAAGTTCCTAGTGCCTGTCCCGTTGGGCCTATATAGCTATATAACCATTGATTTTAGCAAGAATGGTAAATGTTTAGAAACTAGTATTCATTTTTCCCGTTACTTTTTGCCTGCTTGAAATTCACGGAGCTCAGGTTGAGATAATCTCCGAAACGGCGGCTTATGTACTCTAGCTTACATATGTAGTTGCTCAAGCCCAAGAGCCAGGGTCCCTCTTGCTTGCGTCAAAGCTTAACCGCATACATGCGTGATTCTATATATATACACAGTGTACCAAATCCCACCTGGAGTGTCTAACTCCATAGGTCTTTTGAGTCTTCGATGACTTTGTCGCCCCCATTCCAACGTCTTGTTGGGGCGCGGGTGGGGGGGTTTCCGCCCTTCGCATACAATAGACTCTTTAATCGTCCCCAACTGTTAAACTACATAGTGCCCAATGCCCATTATACGTCTTGGCTGTCTATCAAGTGGTGCCAGAACTCAGCTGAGAAACTGTGCTCCTCAAGTTTTATAGGTACTTATGCAGGTACTCGCCTCTACTCTACTCTATCAACTCCAGAGCGTTCCACTGTTAGCTCTGTTTGGAGCGTATTATAACGGCGCAGGGACGGGAGTCCTGATTCGGGCGTAAACACGCGGGGATTAGTGCCTTATTCGACACAATTGAGATGTGATGCTTGAACTAGATGTGGTAGGTAGTTGCAATGGTCGAGGAAATGAGGGCCCTATTCGGAGGCGAGAGGGCCCTATTTGGGGACGAAGCCCGATCGATTTTGGAGATGACAACTCCTACATATTCGGAACCAGGTTAAGTTGTCGGGTTCCTAACTACTATTTAACACTAGCTCGCTCCTAACTAACAATAGTGGATTTTCCTATGGCCGAGTGATCGCTAGTGATGCAACTAGTACAGACATCAGCGGAAAACTAAGTATTTTAACACATATTTTGACATCTACAGGAATACCCGTTCGAATGCGTTTGATGTCGATTTACTGCCTCTTCGAAGCTTCGGAGGCATCAAAAGCAGGTATAGAAGCAAGCAAACAAGTACCTGATGCCGACCTATACTATCTGATTGAGTAGTAGGGTATATATAAGATGTATACTTTCATACTAATAATAAAATGGTGATAGTACCAGTAGATTCGAATTGATAATCATCAGAGAAAACTATCTTATAACTATCAAGAGAAGTCCTATGATTTAGGGGGCTCTAAATATATAAGATCGAGAGACCTACATGTATTTAAACAAGAAATGGTAATTAACGACAATTCAACGAGATCCATTTATACTTGCTAAACTTAGTACCCATATTTATTTTATAAATTACCTAGTAGACATAAAGAAAAGAAAGGCGCTTACTCGTAAATTCATGACTCCCATAAAACCCTTAAAAACAACGAAAGAAGAGATGGGGAAGAATGAATACAATTAGTACAAAGAAAGAGGGGGTATCGCGTAATCAACTAATCACTAGCGGGGCAATATAAACCCACAAGCAACCTCACACTATCCGCACTTCCCAACCCACCCTCCACCCTCCTCCCCACCCCATTCTTCCTCAACTCTCCCAGCGCCTCCTCCCACTGGTTCTCAAAACACGCGAACGAACCCTCCCACACAAGCTCCCCGCCCTTCCTCGCAACAATCCTCAGCGAATTCACGGCATCCCTATGAACCCCCAGTCGCGGCACGATCCCATCATGCAGCACCCCGTTGAAGCACTTGTAGTCTGGATACCACAGCCGGATTGACTCACCGATCAGGGCCTGCGGATACATTGTACGTACGGCCGGTGAGGCTTGGATCCGGGCCTGGAAGAGAACATTGATCGGGAGACTCTCGATATAGTCGCCGTAGGCGGCTGTCGCGACACTCGGTACCTTTACTGTAGGGAGAACTTCGTCGACAATGTCAGTGTCCATGGGTTCAGATCCGAGGGAGGCCGCCATCGCGGGCCCATTGGCCGCCATCTTGTTTGCTGCGGCGTCGGTGCGGTGGTCATCTTCGGGGTAGCAGTAGATGTGGAGAGAGGTGCCAGTGCGCGTGAGACGGCGCTTTTTGTGGGGAGGTTGGTTCTCCAACATTTAGATTGGTATGTGTGTGTGGGGGAGGTGGAGTGGGGGGGATGTGATAATTGCGGGGCGGGAAGAAGGGGCGGGAGCGTCGAAGCTCCGAATTGTTCTGCGATAGCGGCGGCAGAGCTTCAGCGACAGCGACAGCGGCGCGGGTGAGGTCTGTGTTTTGGTACATACATCGTAGCTACATGTAGTCGCTAGCACCGTACCTATGGCAACCGCCACCGTGGCAAGGGTTAGGGTTCTGTGTAGTGGTACATATGGAAGTTGTAGATCCATATGTACCCTTTCGTCGCGCTGGAGTCGCGCTGGGTGTGCGGGCGGGCCAGGTCCTACCAAGGACTGAACTTTTGAGTACTCTGAAGAGTGGATACCTCATAGCGGGTCGAGTGCTCAAAAGTTCCTGGGTACAATAGAACCTGGCCCGCACGCACACCCAGCGCGACTCCACCCCCGACGAAAGAGTACATATAGTTAGACCTAAAGTAACTGACTATACTAAAAGACAGCAGAGTACAATATATCCTATAAGAGACCAGTAGACTTCTGGCATAGGACACCAGAGGCGTACATCGGATACGTACATAACTCGAACACCAATCCCACAAGCAATCTTCTACTACTGCACCTATGCACGCATATAGAGTAGAGTATACTCGTGTTTTCACAGCGTTTGTGAACACAACCGGCATTACATACACACAAAAAATAGCCAAGACAACCTTTTTGTATGGCATGCAATAGCGGTGGTGTTCACAAACGCTATGAATAGACGAGTAGGAAAACATAGGCCTAGGCTTAACCTGCTAGCCAGTTCTAGAGGGAGAAAAGAAGAAAGCAACAGAAAGAAAAGCCCCTTTTAAACTCCAACATATATGCACCTGAGTAACCAACGTACCTCGGAAAGATAATCCCCAAAATGTAGACAAAAAAGCAAAAGGAAACCAAAAACAAGCTGATATCATTATAATCAGACTTCGTCTATACTCACTCGAGAAACATCCTTCTCCGATTCTCTTTCGTCGGGGCTGGAGGAGCCCTTATGCACACCAAAATGTTCTTCCCCATCAGGAGTCTTAAAAAGCCCATATCCGTACGAATCCTCCATTTTGTCCAATACCCTTCCCCTCGCCCTCACATTTTCTCCACGGAGCTGCGAGCAATCCTCCATGGCATCACTTGCGTAGAGGAGTGTAAACGTATCCGCCATGCTTCTCGGCAAGTGGGTAAGGCCTCGTCCAGGACGTACTATGTGTACCCACAATAGGAGCAGGACGAAAGAAATTATAATTGAAAGCGAGATGCTAAACATTGGAGTTGAAACATAAACCCTATATTGCATGGATGTTTTGTTGTAAATAGTATCAAAATCAACCCTAGGATAAGATATGGAGCTATCATGCTCGGCGTTCATTCGTAGATTCACCGCGTACAATTGTCTATAAGCACTTTCAAATGCTTCTACAACGTAAGTCGTATCCGGCATTTTGGTTCCATTACCAGTTTGGCGGACTTGAGGTTGCAGTTGCGCCATGAGAACATCAATCCATGCAACATTGGACGATGTGGAAATTGATTTTTGAAAAAGGTCATCGAATGCTACCGCTCGACTAGTCCCGGGGATAATGGGAAGCGTCCTACTGATCATATTATCGACATCCGCTTCTGAGATCATTCCGAGCTTATTGTACGAAACGATCTGATGTAACGAGTCCACAGTTGCCGAAACTTTGGAAATTATCATGCTAGAGTTGCAAACAAGTACAGTTGCTTTGGTTTTGGTATATTGAGGGAGCCATTCAGCCCAGCCCACAAAAAAGGTTCCAGGACAACTCGAATCTATCAGGAAACCTGTACTGGTATTGGTACTGGTTTCGTTCGAACAAGAACCTTGACAGTTATCCTGTGCTGAAACTGATGTGACCCAGCATCCGTGGTCGACATCCAGCTGAAAATTGTTTGGGGTATCGGTTGGTTTCCTCCGAATTATTACTTCATTTTCTGGTAGTAGCTCACAGGAGATATTTGTCCCGAAACCTAAGGTTTCAGCCTCCATACTCACAGTACTCGAAACCCAGTCAGTCCCATATTCTCCGAACTCCATGATATAAAACTCTGGTACAGTCCAGTTTGGTAACAGGGCGTTTCCTGATAGGTTTGCCGCTAGAAGGAAATATGAATCTTCACCCATGAATTGATTGCTGGTAATGTTGAGTGGTTCTATCTGGAAAGATCCAACTTTTGTGGATATAAATGGACGCGGGGAGAAGAGGCCTCCAAGAGCTACCGCCAAGAAATTGGCAAGAATAATAGCGATGGTAAGTGCAGCAAGGCCAAAATTTCCGGTTTTGAGTGCTTGAAATGTTTGGAAGTGCGGTGGTGTTTTATCGTAGTCTATTGTTAAAGTCTTGGAACTTGGTGCGTGGCCAGGACGAAGGATTTCGTAAGGTGCAACCATGCAGGCATATGTTCCGATAAGTACCCATAACGGCTCTATTGAAGTGCCAGTGATAGTGGGTAGGTTTGAAAATATAAGCTTAAACTTGAAAGAAGACTCAGGTGCGTAGAATCGGAGTCCTATATTAAGTAAGAACCCATCTTAATAAAGAGGCCTGGCAGGATTGGTATCGAAATAATATGGCCGGCAACGGGCTGATGACGATCCAATCCAACTCTTGTTGTTCCGCCTATCAAAACCATTCCCCTCCGATAGCACTGGTTGATTGCGGTAGGAGATATGTAGGGGACGGGACAACTGACCTCCTTTCGTTTTGTCGGCAATATACACGAACAATATTAACGATAACAGGATAGTAAAGTAAAAAGTGTATAAAAACCCTATTGGGCCCCAAACCATTTCGACTGGCGCGAGGCCTTCCTTTTGCGCTGGTTCATTGTAAAGATCATAGCTCTCAGGTTGCACGTTTTTTTTTCCTTCCACATCGGTCACTTCTATATATGGGCCTTGGTCGTTGCTCAAACGAAGTCGATAGATGCTTTTGCTTTCAATTAATAATTCGCGTTGATCGATAGGATGACGAAACTCGGAGTTTTCCATTTTCTGACGCAGAGCTGGGCTCTGTGATAGTGTCTGCATCAGAGCGGCAAGACTGTTTGGCTCTCCATCAAGATTGCATTTTCGATTCCACGTGGAAACCAGAAGACAGAAAGTCAAAAGGCTTAGAACTCCAAATCCTACTTGTGAAAGTCTACACCAGAGTTCATTTGTAACATATGCCTGAGTTCTGTGTAGTCGAATGCTATTGATAATCGTAGTTGAATTCTGACTATCGTCCACAAATTCGGAAGAAACAGCAAGTGCGAACAAGAGCTTAAATGCATCTTCATGGCCCCACGGAAGAGACTCCAGAGACCGTGGATTGAGATGGTAGCTCTTATATGTCTCGGGGGCTCTAGGAGCATCTAGCGGAAAGTCACCGAACAGGTTTTCTGACGGCGAAGCTCGACCGGTTGCAACCAACTCTTCGAAGCTTGTGATATTAAAGCCATTGAACGGGTTTATTTTGCCTTTAAGACGGTCAACATTTACAATGCGCCCGACGCCTGATTTTGTCATCTCCATTGTGACCTTGACGGACTGCGACCAGTATGCGGGGGTGCAGAATTTTGACGTAAATATGGTAAAGTTCGTTTGTGGCCCAATAATACCCAAAAACCCACCACTCGAGACGAGAAATTTGTGCTTATCTGAACAGTGTGCTAGAGGTGAAGACAGCGAGTAAAGATCTGGTGACCTCTCTCTTGAATTATTCGCATATCCGAAAAAAAATCCGTCAACCCCTCTATAGCTACCGCGGATCGGCTCGGATAAAGTCTCTAACGCCCGCAGCCCCTCGGCTGGGGATATGCCAGTACCGTCCCATACTTGAGTATCATTACCCGCAGCCTTTTGTATAAAATGATAGGAGCAATCTTGTTCGTTTGTGATATTGCACCCATATTTTGTCTCTACTATCTTTGCATCACGGCAATTAAAATCAGCTTCATAAAGAATGCTCTCCGCAGCCCATCTGTCTCCGTTTTCCATTCCTGGGGGCTCTGAAAAGGAAGAATAGCGTATTCGGCGGTAGTGAATTCCGGGAGCGAGCTATTTTGCCATACATAGTTATATGCCAAGTAAGAGGGTTTTGTTGACAAAGACTTGATTAGGTCTTGGGCCGAATATAGATTGGCCCTTGAGATCTCGGTGGTTTCCCCGGGAATGTAGGTTCCAACTAAATCGAATATCCCTGACATAGAAGGAGTAAGGAACAAACTGGTGATTACCATGATTGTGCTGGAACAATAAACAGACCAGTGCCTAGATTATGTTAGTTATACAAAGATTTCTTGATATCTCTACTCAGGCGAACCTTTTTTTGAAGGCCTTATACGGAATGAAAAGTTGAAAGCTATAAGAGTAATCGAGTAATAAAGAGTGCTCTGCAGTAGCGCCCCCAGGTTTTGATAACTGGAAAAATGGCTCGAGGCGCTTGTAGTTGTGGTCTGCGCTGGCCCAAACAAGACCGAAAGCAACTGAAATAGTTGTAGGCAGGTAATTGAACAAGACATCTGCTTTCATCGGCAGAGCCTCTTCGTCTAGCTCCTTGAAAATGAGGCCCCCATCTCTGTGAGACTTTCGAAGAAGTAACTCAACCACAACAGTGAGTGCGACACAAAAACATATGAAAAACGTCAGAAAAACCGGTCGGATCGACCACGGTTTCCAGGTTTTCCTTCGGCAATTTCGCTCTTCAAGGGATTCTAATTCTGTTACTCAATGTAGAGATAGATAGTGAGCGAAATAAATACCTTGTTCTGAATCTTGGAAGCCTGGACTCCTTGTGGCCAACTTAGAATACTCCGTACTCTTGACTGAGGCCAACATGGCCAGAAAAAGGGAGATCGAGAGTGAAAGAGAGTGAAAAATGTATTATGGCGGTTGTGGAAGGAAAGATGGATGATTGATTAAGGGTCGAGAGACGAGGTAGGTATATACAATACTACATGTAGCCACCGTCATGCAATAAATGAGGGGCAGTGTTTAAACCTCGAACTGATTACTGGGATGATTGCATATTGCGATTGTTGACGCTAAATCGGGGCCAGCGAATACACTCTATCGATAAAATCTACTCAAAGTACTCGCATATCAAGTATGTATTTGCGCAACCAGCAAAACACACAGAGAATCCAGAGAGCTTTCCCATCTCTCCTAAAATTATGTGTCTTCTATCTAGACACCTGAAAGACTCTACAGGCCACTTTTAGGCTATATCTACAAAGAACAAGCCCTGAAGGTGAAATGTGTCTAAAAGGGTCCTTCTATGGCACCGTTACCAGTATCTCAATTGGGCCAAGAATTTGAAGCATGAACCTCCTTTATTAAAATTATATTATACTTGGCCGTTGATATTTTGGTTTAAGTGTGGGACTTTTTATGAGTTGTTGAAAACCTCGATTTTTGGTGTGTTTTGCTGGTTGGGCAAATACATAATTGACGTTCGAGTAGACATCTCATGAATCATGAAGCTGAGATCGGACTGGGGTAACGTATTTCACCTAGAAGCCGACCTTCACCGGGTAACCGATCAGTGAAGTGAGTCCTGTGTAACCTCTGTACCCACTTGAGTTGAAAGGTTTTTCTATTCGTTGTAGGCCAGTTTTGATTACTATTCAGTCCGGAATACAGCCAAACCAATCATTGAGATGGGGAGAAGCCGTGAAAAGGAAAAGGAGAACTTCAACAAGAGGGTGGAGAATGCGAGGAGGGACCTTGATAGTAAGCGCATTAAGACAATTAGGGAGGCAGCGGACGTGCATGGAATAGCCTACACTACCCTTCAAAACAGATTAGCTGGTTCTAGAATGTGTCAAGATGCTCATACCGACCAGCAAAACCTTACTCCTATCGAGGAAACAGCTATCAAAAAATGGATTCTTAAATTAGATAACTGGGGTTTTCCGCCCCGACACCAATATGTGAAGGATATGGCTTTAGATTTCCTCATAAGTCATGGAATTCGAAAACCCAAACTAGGCAAGAACTGGTTAACACGGTTTCTGGCTCGTCATCCTGACTTAGATTCTAAATTTTCAACCCGTCTGGACAAACAACGCTCATATGCCAGTAATCCCACGGTTTTGAAAGATTTTTTTGCACAGGTATGTGAGTTCCAATGTTGTTTCCCACTACACTAATAAATTGTATAGCTTCGGCGCGTAGTTGTGACACATAATATACTTCCTGACGATACCTATAATATGGACGAAAAAGGGTTTTTAATGGGGAGGTCTGCTCGCGTAAAGGTGATCTGTAGGAGGGGCAAAAAAAGAAACTTCAAAACTCAGGATGGAGTTCGGGAGCTAATCACAGTTATCGAAACCGTTTCGGCTGGGGGTTTCGCACTTCCGCCATTTATAATATATAAAGGAGAAGCACAGTATCAAGGCTGGCACGGTTTGGTAAACGCAGACGAAAAGGCATATTTTAGTTATTCAAAGAAAGGGTGGACCAATAATATTATTGGTTTAGAGTATTTGACACAAAACTTCGGTCCTAACTCAGCTCAACGGTAACAATCAATTTATTACTCCCCTCATTCAAGTTTGTTAAATTACTAATTTCTTATAACAGAGCAAATGGTCGCACGCGGTTATTGATACTTGATGGACATGTTTCGCACTGCACTTGGGAATTCTTTTCCTATTGTCTTGACAACAATATTATACCCCTCTGTCTTCCCGCACACTCCACACACATACTACAGCCTTTAGATGTTGGACTATTTAATCCTCTACAACGCCATTATACAAATGCTTTAGACGACTGGGCGCAAAACGGAAACACTGGAATTCATAAGGGGACATTCTTCCCGTGAGCTGAAATTCTTCCTTTTTTCTATTAATTTTCACTGATATCCGATATATAGATTATTGATGCAGGCTTGTACCTTTACACATACACCCAAAAACATTCTCAGCGCGTTCAAAGCTACTGGAATATATCCCCTCAATCCCCGCCAGGTACTTGAACCGTGCCTTGAAAAAGCCAAGGCCCTGAATGCCAAGAAAAAGCAAGCATTGGGTCCCCGTACACCCCGTCATGGAAAAAGCATTTCAATCCACACCAAGCGCACCATTGCTTTAGTAGGCAATGCAACACCTAGTAGAAAGCTGGCGCAGATTATGGTTGAGAAACTGGGCCTTGCCGCTGAAGAATCATCAGCAGAGGTAGTTGTCCTACGGCAGGAGTTAGCATATTTGAGGAAGAAAGAAAAAGCAAATTCCGACTCCTCAAGGGTACAAAGTAGAGCTGTTCTCTCCAAAGCCCTCGTAGTTACTACAGATGAGGTTGTACGTCTGCGCAATCAATGGGAGGAAAAGCAAAAGATTACCGCTGCGAGAGCTATAGCAAAAGAGTTGAAGGCAGCGGAGCGGACATCAAAGAGCGCCGAGACAGACTGCGCCGAGCCCGCAAATCTCGGCAGGAAACTCACTCAAGGTTAGCGGCCGTCCAAAGGGACAGCTTCCAATTGAGGAACCGGCTGAACCTGGGACTCAGGACCCTGAAGGCTCAGAGTGCGAGTGGGAAGAGCTGGAAGCGGATAGGTGCACCCCTACAAATGTCACAACCCAAAGTGGTAAGAAAAATGTCCGGAAAATGAAGATATATGTTGTACATGATAGTAGTAATAGTCCAAAGCCGGGGGATTCTGTTAGGAGACTTAGATCTAGAAAATAAATTTTTATTATCGGGTAGGAGTATAATTGCTTTTTGATCGGTTGCTAGGTGAAGGTCGGCTTCTAGGTGAAATACGTTAATCATGGATGTCAAAAGTGATTCCGGAGATACTGGGAAGCTTAAGTAATGAACTTTACTAGTACTCCACTTACCACCCAGGGACCTGTTGCAAATTTGATATGTTTATAAGCAAATGAGACAACAACCTGCAGGCACTTGGTATAAAAATAGCACGTATTCACCGGAGCCCATCTGTGATTGTAGATCTTATAAGTGATACAGCAATTATATTCCTCAACAATGACTCGACTCCGAAAGACAAAATGCTATAGTGGATACTTGCTCGCAAGCTAACCGCTCCCATAATTATATCGATTACTGTTCTAGAAAATAAACACATGTTGTTTATTCTAGAGAAATAGCTATGCAGTGCGATAATATCATCAGAATGTATACGCAAATACATGCATAGATGTATGGTGCTACATACATTGTATCTCCTTGAGTAGCCGAACTAATATCGATGATACAGTTCAGACTTCACGTTTGACTGGTTGAAAGAGATTAGTACTCTGAATACATACGTACATGTAGTATATTGGAGACCAGATATCGACGACTTGATCGATCCTTTTTAGTCCTTTGATTCTTCTCTAATATACGTGTACAGATATATGGTATAAGCGGAGTGCGGCCTTCGGCCGCCCAAATGTACTGAGGAAATGAGGTGCGGGCGGTACTGCGATAGTAATTTCTTAGATTATTGCTGTCATTCTGGATTATTGGGTCATCCAAACGTACAGGCATGCACTAAACCTCATCTCCATCTCTCCTTATATGTAATCTGTGATATATTAGCTCTAGTATGCACTCTAAGTCATTCAATGAGTAGCGTTAGTATGTACATGTAGTTCATGATAAAATGGTATCAGGCAAATTCGACCTTCATATATAAAAATATAGCTGTATTTATGTCAGTGTTTGTTCTTTTATATCCATCAATTGCAATAGCTACACACCTTTTAATGCCAGTTCCCTTCCGTCTCGGAAGTAGTTCTTTGTCGAATCATGATATGCAATCAATATTAGAAATACATGTAGTGCGCTGTAACCAATAGGAGACGTTCCTGGTGATGAGGAAGACTATATAGTTTAGATACCGGTATATATACCGGTATCCCGTTTCACGATACGTATCCTTATCAAAAATATACGCACGTCGTATACTACCTACCAGGAAAATATACAAACTACATGTAGGCGAGCTAACGCATTTATATCCCTTCGATCGTTCGTACGCGTTAGAGCAAAAAGGGAGACATATTAGGCCCACGACGGCGTGGTGACACTCAGAAAATCTAGCTACCTACAGACTGTGAAGACACCAGAATAAGTGTAGGAGGGGTCACAGAAGGTGACTTCACAGCGAAGGAGGTTCACGGAGTGAGGGTTAGGTGTACTACTGAGCAAAAGCTGCCTACTAGCTCCCGGTCATGAAAACGCACGAAGGGATAAGGTCTGCATGTATATTTGTATGTATAGATAGTGCAATTTTAGTAGAATTAAAAGGATAGGTATGTAAGTAGCTAGTATAGTATACGTACCAACTCATAAATTTTTTTAGCAACTGTTTTGGATAGCAACTATTCAACAATTCGGTAAGACAACCGAGAATCGAGATATCTATATAGATGTAGCAGAATCCAGCTGACAAAGCACCAGCCTGGAGGGTCAATGACTATTCTTTCTTTGTGCTCGACATCGTCTCGAGCTCGCCATAACTAACTAGCTTGAAACAGACCCCACAAGTATGTTCAAAACTTTTCATTGTCTAATGTTTCTAAAGAATATTCTCATAATGTCATGTGTTCCGCGAGCTCTATAAAATGAAGCAATACCCGCATGCAAGTCTATGCTTTTTGATTTCACAACTATTCGCTTCTATACGTTAACGTTTGATCCGGCAGGCCGTAATCTTTTTTCCGTCTCTTCGTTTTTTTTTTCACTTACTTTCTTTTTTATAAATCGCTGGTCGATTCCACATTATTACTACTAGTACATAGTAACGGAGAAAGTTATATACCCCCACACCACATTCATTCCAGAAATTCGAAAGTCATCATGTCAATCATATCCTTCATCATCCGGATTCTCCCAATCCTCCTCCTCACAACGCCCACCGCATCCCTTATCACCGATCCTGTAGCTCTCACCGTCAATATGCCACGCAGCACTTCTGCCCCTCTCACAGACTGCGCTTCTGTCTGCGCACTCATGGAGACGCAGATACACCAAGTACCCGGGCCAGATCAAGGTTCGCTGTTCCGAAGCCTGTGCATAAACTCCGGGAGAAATGACTGCGACACTTTACAGGCAGAGTTCAGAGTCGAGCTTGTTGGTAAAGCGGACGGGTTTAAGTGTCTTTGTGCGAGAAACGGTGTCCCAGGGGAAGAGTACTCGAGCACCACTACGACAACTAGCACTAGTACTATCACAATGACAGAATGGGATGTACCCGCCGCGGATACTACTAGTGCCCCTACAGCTAAGGAAGCAGCCAGCACTGACACCGCAGAGCAAGGCAAGGCCACAGGTGTGGCATCTGTAGCTACCTCCTCAGTATCTATGAATACGGAACCAACACAACCGTCAGTTACAACTCCGATCCAAACCTCCGTTTCAGACCCAATAACAACGGCACTAATTGAAACTCTATTGCCAAGTATTAGATCTACAATATTGAGTACACATACCACATTATCAACAGTTAGATATGCTGTCTCACCTACTTCCAAGTCTCCCACCACCAGTTCCACCCCTAAAGCGACACCACCAAATTTGGAGGCAGAACTAAATACAATCAACCAGCCACAACCCTCAAAGAAGCCTAAATCAGGGGCTATCGTAGGGATTGTACTTGGTGTGTTAGCTGTGTGTGCAATCATTGGCGGTGGAGTGTGGTACATCAGGAAAAGACAGATGGCGAAGGTTGCGGAAAAGAAGTTTGATTATGATTATTAGAAGTGTTTTTTGATACATGTATATACAGTAAAATTTCAAGACCTCGCTATATATGAGAATGCGATATATCCCTTCGTCTGGCGAAAGAATTGCTGTCCACCCAAGATTGGTGCCAAAATTACGTGTAGCCCACACTAAGGGATCTAAATATCTTACCATTTTACTTATAAGTTGATCTCATGATCATGATCACCCCCCCATATTCCGTTCCTCCAATATAGGGTAGGGGTACCCGAGTAGCCGGCATCACAAAATCTAGACGAACCATAGCTTATAGAGATATTTAATAGGATAACATGTCAAACTAGCATATGTATGTTCGGGGCTACTGAATTCAAGGATTTGACGATCCCGCGGAGGGATTAACTAATGCCGGCATAATAAAGTAGGATCTGGACATCTCTGACGAGTCATTTTTCATGATGCAACTCACTATTATGTATTATTATACACGTCCAAACAACAGAGTTCGTAGATTGTTAATATAATTAAATTTTCCAATAGGAGAAAAGCAACTAGCTATTTATTCGAAGTAAAGACTTCTTGCTTTGAAGTAGAGAGCTAGCATCGTCATATTCCTGGATGGGCCCTATGTTCCTGGCCATGGATGGACTAGAACATAGCCATCTCTCCTACGAGGCCTAGGGGAAATGCATCAATTAGCACATTCCCCATACAAAGGTTCGGGAAAGGGCACACGCAAACGCGCTTACGTAATTACAGGGGCACACGGTCTACCAGAAACGCACACTTTTTCCCTTTTACATCCCTTTTAATTTTACTGTGGCATTTCCTGTGTCTTTTCCCACTATAGACCCCGGTATCAAATTTATGTCCTTTTTGTGTCCATCTACCGCCCATTTACTGTCCATTTACCGTCCATTTACTATCCATTTACTGTCCATTTACTGTCCATTTACTATCCATTTACTATCCATTTACTATCCATTACTATCCATTTACCGTTTTTTTTCCAAAGGTCGATCTCCCAGATCCCATTTGTGTCCCTTTTAGATCCATTTACTGTCCGTTTTCGCTAGATCCCTTTTTAATCCCTTTTTGATACCTTTTCGATCCTTTTTCAGTCCCTTTATCCTTCTCTTTCCACCCCTTTAATATTTTTAAAAATTTACCACATATATTCCTGGCCCTATAGGTGTTCTAAAACGGTCATCTACATCAATTCAGCTAGTATAGTTGATATAGTGATCCTAGCTATGTCAGCATATGCATAAGGTAAGAGGTTCAACCCTTATCTACATGTAGATACGTAATGAGGTAAGTAGGCATCCATATATTTTTCGGTTTTTTTTTTGGACGAAATTCGGTTGAAGAAATCTTCCTAATATTGGACTTAAAACCAATTTCCGTGCCTCTTCCCCCGGTGCATAGGGGGCACTAAAATAATTCACCCTCCATACAATATTAATTGTTTTTACTGCACGATTTTAATTGTTCTACCATACAAAACATGATGCATTTCCCGATGACTTTTCTCACACAAATTATTTAATTATTCGGCCTACCACACAGTTTAATTATTCCTACCACGAGATTCCAACCATTCCTGCCACACGATTTTAATTGTTTCTACCATACAAAATTTGATGCATTTCTTGATGCATTTCCACTCGTAGTAGAGCATATATTGCACACGCTTATATACCTTATATGAATGACTTATTGACCATGAGAGATACTTGTAAGAGCACCTGGCTGATAGAAGGAGTACGCAGATAATGATGTGGAACTTCGTACTTCTCATCCATAGAGCCGTGCACGTGTCCGTCCAGGTAGCGCAGCAGTGCCTTATTAGTCCACGTAACAAGCTGGCCTATAGCTTAGGCAAGAGTATACGTATTACCATGAGGTTATAGTTATTACATGTAGTATATAAGGTGCAAGTTACATGTAGGTACAGCAGCCTCTACCACCGGAGAGAAATGAATCCATAGATTGTGTTAGTGCAATGCATCGGTAATGTGCTGTGTTGGGTAATGTATTTGAATTGTGTTGCATTCTATTTTGCATCGGGAATGCATTGATAAAGTATTGGGTATTGCATTGGCAATGTATCTGGCAATGCATCGGCAATGCATCTGGTAATGAATCGGCAATGGGAGGGCAATGCATCGAAATGGGAGGGCAATGCATCGAAATGGGAGGGCAATGCATCGAAATGGGAGGGCAATGCATCGAAATGGGAGGGCAATGCTTCTGGTAATGAATCGGCAATGCTTCTGGTAATGAATCTGGTAATGCATCGGCAATGAATCGGCAATGAATCGGAAATGGGTTGAGGCACCGGGAATGTATTGGAAATGTGTTAAATAAAACCGAATTTCTCAAAAAACATGACTTGACTTAATAAGGATCTGAACATGTGAACTCCTGATCCTTCGCTGATACTTCGCCATATCAGCCACATAACATTTGTTATATATTTGCCCTCAAAGAGTGCTATATATCCAGCAAATATGAATAGAAATCCATTATGGAAATGCATCATGAAAGGCATCATAAAAGCATCCGGAAAATAATCACAAGAAAGGCATCAGGAATGGTGTTCGGAAAATCATCCAAAAACCGCCCAAGAGTAAATGCATCAGCTGATTCATTTACCAAAAGCCTCGACAGTAAATGCATCCATGGATCGATTTCCGAATTCCACCACTATAGGATTTCGGAAATGCATCATTTGATGCATTAACCCCCGTAGTAGAGAGCACTCTCCCGAAGAAAAGTAAAAGTACACTTCTCGACTTATATAAGCTTGCAATTGAGGTTAGATCGAAACAAGGGTAATGATCAGATCGTAACATCAACAGAATATCCAGTCAGTTATAATTAATTAATATAACAATACCATTTTATACTTCATACGTATATAGAGAATCATAGTTAGGTTGTAGCTATCTCTTCACGGGCCCACTATACCATCTTGCTTGTATTATTAAACCTTGTTTGTAAAAATTACAATTGTACAAGGCACTAGGCCCTATGCCTAGCCCCACGAGGATGATCGTACGAGCCAGGCTCTCCCCTTTCCTCAAGTGACCTTGCTCAAACCCGTCCTAGCTCTAGACATTGAAGAGTGACTGGGTATACAATGCCGGTATTTAAACCTTTATCTTCTGATAGAGTTATGAGAACCATTTCAAGCCACCGGCCGGCCGTTGTAGCCCATTCCCGTCTATCTAGGGTATTAAAGGGTTAAATATCACCGTCTAGATCTTCCTGAGCCTAGGTTGATACATACCCCACCTCTGCAGAGCGGTACCTTATGCTACATAGAGATTGCGAACAAGTATAACACCCATGATTTTAGACAAAAACCAAACCAGGATATAACCACATCTTTCCCGCGCGCATGAGGTGATCTTGGGCCCTAGTTACCGCACTGAGGACACGTAATCGAAAGAACGTAAATATAATTAATATACCACTACACTTTGATATATGCCGCACGTACTTTGAACCATGAAGTATTAGTGCAGACCTGCGACAGAACCTGGACCAGCCTAGTTCCTTAGCTTGGTAGATATATACATATACTTCTATATCTTCGACAATTTTACGACGCAGATTCAGTAGCCGTTATCGCGCATGGGGGATATCCCAAATTCGATGCCCGAGTTAATGATATTTCCGACTCGGTATACCCGATATTACTAGAGTACTAGATAGTCGAGTCTTGACCTTTAAATCTAATTAGATTAAATTTTATTTTTCCCGTATACTTGCATGTATGTACTAGCAGGTTCTGGGCTCGAAGAAGCATTCCGGACCATGAGTAGACTGATATGATAGGAATAAACACGGGGCTAGTCCTTTTCTGTAGTGATCAGGATTATTTTGTGCATATGCACAGTGTTTCAGGCTTTGATCAGCCTCGTAACTTTCGTGTGGTATTAAGCCTAAGCACCTTAGTAGAGCACCTACATAGAAGGCACATTTTAACAGTCATCAGGTAACTATACGATTCCTCGAGTGTAAGTACTGACATCCGTGCGCAGTGCGTGCGGAGATAATAAGCCGAGTTTTCCGGCGTGGCGCCGCACTAGTAGGCCTGAGACACTGATAATAATATCTCTCAGACGAGACTCTCTGTAACAGACTTACTTTTTCTTAGTGGTCTATAAGCGATCTCTTAACGTGTCTATAATTGCTACTATAACCAACCCTTTTGCAGTGCTCTAGGTCGCCTTAGTACATACTATACTCTTAGCCTTGCAGTCGGAAGGCATTTTGTACAATTGTTAAAATTTACTAGCCGGCCGGACCGGCCGAACCAAAGGTTTGTTTATTGGATACAGTATTCTCTAGCCAGTGTACGTGTAAGCCATAAAGATATTTATTTTCAGATATTTCTTCCTTGCTCCGAGTACCAATCCGTGTGGCTGAACATCTAAGTTGACATCACATACAATCACTCGTCGCTTGTGTGTCGCGTTCACAAATTATCACTCGTATATCAGGTAGGACGTAGCCTTGGTGAAGGAGTGCTAGCGTAACAGAAATGTGTCTAGGTGAGAGCTAGGCGAGAGCTACTCACAGATGACAAGTCCAATCATATACATAGAAATACCAACTTCAAGCCCCCCTGCACCAACCCACCCACTCTTCTCCCCCACCATCATCTAAACGGTCAGCTACTCATCCATCATAGCAATCCCACAGCCTCACATAAACGTCTCAAAGATGATGTAAAATCTCGCAGGTCAATTAGCCAAACCAGATTTCCTCTACTGTTCTCAGCAACAAGCTACCATCTGCTCCTAGGGAACTCGAGTAGTTACTCGGGGACTCTCATAGAATTGGCGATTCTTCTCTCTGGTGCTGCACTCAAGATACTCTGGGGCTCCTCCTACGTAACCTGGCTCCATCTTTCGCACGTATGTACCTGCATCAGACCCTCAAGCTCTAAATAGAAAACCTGCAAGTACCATGGTAACACAAGGCCTAATCAGCTAACCCAAACAAGGCAATACTTCAGCTTC